ATGTCTGACGGAAGGTGAACTGGGGTAAACGGTGTGCCTGCTCGTCTCCTGATGCCCGACGACAGGTCAGCTGGGATGAACAGTGTGCCTGCCCGTCTCCTGATGCCCGACAGCAGGTGAACTGGGGTGAACAGGGTGCCTTCTCGCCTCCTGATGCCCGACAGCAGGTGAACTGGGGTGAACAGCGTGCTTGCTGGTCTCCTGATGCCCGACGGCAGGTAAATTGGGATGAACAGTGTGCCTGCTCGTCTCCTTATACCCAATGACAGGTCAGCTAGGATGAGCAGTGTCCCTGCTCGTCTCCTGATGCCTGACAGCAGGTGAACTGGGGTGAACAGTGTGCTTGCTTGTCTCTTGATACCCAACGGCAGGTAAACTGGGTGAACAGCGTGCCTGTTTGTCTTCTGATACCCAACGGCAGGTGAACTGGGGTGAAAATGTACCTACTTGTCTCCTGATGCCCAACGGCAGGTGAAATTGGGTGAACAGAGTGCCCGCTTGTCTCCTGATGTCGAACGGCATGTGAACTTGGGTGAACAGTGGGCTTCTTTGTCTCCTGATTCCCGACGGCAGGTGAACTGGGGCGTATAGTGTGCTTACTTGTCCCCTGATGCAGAATGGCATGTGAACTGGTGTGAAGAATGCGTTTGCTGGTCTTCTGCTGCCCGACGACAGGTGAGCTTCGGGCTTTGGTGTTGAATTTACGCTGATGTGGACGAGTTAAGGGGTTTCATCAAGTGACGACGGGGTAAAGACGCGCACACAATCACTGGCAATGAGTATCGTCTTGCCCATGCGGCTACAAGCTTGTTAATTGCATTATTCATGACAGTGTAACTAACATGGGATCGTATAGAGATGTGACATGAAACTGGGGACCGAATCATTCGCGAATTTATGAGCAGACGACGCATGTCCAAATGATAAGCCTTCTCAACACGCACCCAGTGTCAGGATATACATGGCATTCAACCACTATAAGCCTTACCTATAAGAGCTGTATACAACGTAAAAAATTGGATGATATCGAGATGGCACGCTGATCCTAGCCCGATACCACCTGATGTGTACGTCCTAGGGAATTCTGCCTGGGTTATTCCGCTGGAGTATTGGGTGCACCATCAAAGGGGCTGTGCGGACATGCCTCCCGGCTTTTCCAAACTGGAATTTTCTCCCTTCAATTTTGCTCGTAGAATGCATTTTACAACACCTTATTGGAAATGCAGTTTTCGGGTCAGTTTGTCCCGCCCAAACTCCAGTTTGACCCTTTCAGTCCGTGCTTTGACACTCACCTGTCTCAGCGGCACGGTTACAGACAGCTCTGCGCCATGCTTGCACTGTCACCTGTCTCAGCGGCACGGTTACAGACAGCTCTGTGCCATGCTTGCACTGTCACCTGTCTCAGGGGCACGGTTACAGACAGCTCTGTGCCATGCTTGCACTGTCACCTGTCTCAGGGGCACGGTTACAGACAGCTCTGTGCCATGCTTGCACTGTCACCTGTCTCAGGGGAACGGTTACATACAGCTCTGTGCCATGCTTGCACTGTTAAGGAAAACATCGTCATTGGAAGGCAAAGCGCAGCCATGTTACCTTCGCAAGAACTCAGTGACAATAACGACATGACAAACCATTTACAGCTACTTATCAAAAGCTAACTTGGTTTTCTTCTGTCGAAAGCCGGGCATTTGATCTCCGATCGGTGTCCGAAACATCCCCAGATGCATGACAAAACAGCGTGTTCCGACCACAAAGCCCGACATCATGTTCAAAAGAGTCGAAATGCTCACTTCACACGATGGAATCAAGAAATTTCGAACAGCCAAAAAACCTGGGCCAGTTTCGTGCTATGGATGCATGGTTTTAAGGCGCCGTTCGTCTGCCTGACGTTGCTAATGTTTGGAGGTGAAATAGCCTGCTGGGCAGCAGTGTACGCGGCATCCGTCGACTAGCTCAGCCCCAAATGGACCGTCACAAGCTGCTCGGCCGAGACACAGATCAAGAATAAAGAGGCGGTCATTGGTTAAATATTTAGCCCCAACTGGACCGTCATAACCTGCTCGACCGAGACAAAGACCAAGGGTAAAGAGGCGGTCATTGGTCAAATATTTAGCCCCAACTGGACCGTCACAAGCTGCTAGACCGAGGCACAGATTAAGAGTACAGAGGCGGTCATTGGTCAAAAAGCTCAGCCGCAACTGGACCGTCACAAGCTGCCCGGCCGAGACACAGATCAAGAGTACAGAGGCGGTCATTGGTCACGCTTTCCAGTAGTGTCAGGCTGCAGGGAGTGCACAGAGACGCTATCTAATGCAGAAAGAAAACTTTCAGGATAACAGACAGGCTGCGGCCATCATGGTAGCGACCAAAGAGCATTGTCTGGTGACTGATGACTAAGATTTGGAGTTACCTCGTGTTTTGGGCCACGTACGTCGAACGAAGCGCTGCACGCGCTATCTTTGGTGCCATGAAGATATGGTAAAGTTTCTGATTTGTTTGCGGAAAAGAAAATCCTCAAAAAGCCAACTGAAAACCTTCGCTGCAGTGACGCAGCCAGGAGGGGGGGGGAGGGGGGGGGGTTCGGAGCCTTAGCCCCTCCCCATCGTCAGATTCACGTGAAGTTATCACCACGACACTACCGGATATAATTCCAGAATCTAGTCTTCAGGAAAACTGTTTTGTTTTAAATATCATAGATATGACCACGGGCAGCGGCACGCAGAGTCCAAGTGTCGTAACTTAGTAACGAGACTAGAGAAGTGAGTGCAGATGTACGGCAAGTAACCGAAACAATCGTTGAAGGCACGGGGGCAAACCAGCATCGATAGCTTATTGATACCCTAGGCGGTATACCTATTAGCGTTTGGGGAATATATTCGCGATGCGTAGGTACTGTAACTGGGACTGGTATGCATGTCTATGTTATGACGAAGCCTATGTCACCACACTTAACTGGTATGATGATGCTCTGAATGATGCGTTCGTACTGAAATCATGGTGTAGCGATTTAATTGCAAAGCCCCGGGACAGCTCATTCAGACGCGGACAGATCAAACTGACGTTACTCCTTTTCGCTGAAACTGTGGTATGTTGTCGTGAGTAGTCAGCTGAAAAAAAACTCTGCCTACATGGACACATAAATTTCAGCCCGAAACGTACCAGACCCCAGGTAAAGGCTTTGGGCTTAGCGGAAAACGGTTTGCATGTGTATGCACATGCTTCGTAAGAAGTGGCGGAATCTCCTCATTCTTGTAGGATGTTCCTTTTTGTCAGTACTGGCGACGGCTGCTCAGCCGCTCCCTCTTTCCGTTAGAATCCGTCCCACATACTGTGCTCCAGCACGGCATACATACATAGGCGAATGGGAGTTAATAAGCACCTTCACCGAAACGAGCAAGATGCTGGCACCGGGGAACATGCTATACAAATCAGAACTCACCAGGATTGTGCGAGCGCAAGCAACTAAGGCATAATTTGACATTTGTAGACCAATTACATTTGCACGGTGAGGGCATTGGAGTGCTTCAAATGACTCCAAAATTTGATATTTGATGTTTGTCGGCGCGGACTGTGACATCGTTAGTTACCTGACATATGCCATATGTCAGCTGAGCAATCCTAAGGGAATCGACAAGGGCCAGCGATCAGCGTTTGAATTATTCTGATCAGACGATTACATCTTCAGATGGGGAAAGGATAAGCCCATTGGGCATCGTTGGTACGCGGGCGGCGAGAAACATCCACTTGTTACTCAAATAAGTGTTAATGCATTATTTTTGCGTGCGCGGTTGCGAATGCACATGATCACTCGCACCAAAGACGCGCGGGGCGTGTCAATGAAAGGAGCCGCTGTTTCCGTCGCATTCCACCGATACTCCCCCTCCCCCCAAAACAAATCATTTGCAAACCCACGGCAATGCCGATGCCCCATTCGCACATTAGTGTCCTGACTTCCTTCGTGTTCAAAATCACTATGTCAAGTGCATGACATTGCAGTTGTTTCCGCCTGGTGCTGTTTTACACCGAGTTGTCGAAGCCAAGAGAGTCCAAGCACATATCTAGACCAATGGTTGCTCATCCCCACCCACTGAGAATGCAGGGTGGTGTCCTCGCCCCTAGCGCCATCTACACGCAGCAGTGGTGCATAGCGACTGCAGCTAACTGGTGGCGCGATAGCAACGCCATCTTCTGGCCAAGTATGATTTCCGGCGGCCGGCGACGAAGTCGCACGGAGTTCCCAGCCTGCTGGTATATCAAATTGATGTTTGCCACAGCACAAAAGTTTATGTTGTAAAATGGCCAATGGGTATATAATCAGATGTACTCCACCGGGCTCAATATGACTTTGGAAAACTGAGATGGAAAGTGGGCACGCCGCATGGAAGGAATCTTGTGGCTCCCAGCGTTTTTCGTGGCCCGTCCTAGGTTGGTAAGAAATTCTCTTAGTCCAGGACAGGTAACTGTACGATAGTAGCGCAAGACGTCTAATATACGAGTCCCTGGCACACCAAAAACGTAAATACCCTCCATGTGCCCATTCGTGGCAGATGCCCTGCACGCGCACCGCGTCGCTCCTGCGGAGCACCGCGGATCTCGACAAGGATGGTCCGTACAACTAAGCCCTCCGATTCCACGGCCACTTTTGACTTCTAGCAGCTGGCGATGATCTTACTGCAAAAGCGGGGTGACAAATTTGATCCGCCTCGAACACAGGGCTAGTTCTGGACATAATCGCAGAGCTCCACTTCATCACTAGCCAACCCTTGACCTGTGCCTGCCGCGCATGGCAGGAGAAAGAGCAAAGGAGGCTGATGGCCCGCCCTCAGAGCGTAGCGTGTCGGAAACAGTCGCGGTCAGTAGACACACGCCCACAAACCCTGCGAGCTTACCAGAACACTGACGTGTGTGGCGTGAAGACCTGCCCCAAGGTAGTTTACTCAAGCCTAAGTGTCATTCAACTCCAAAATGCGATAGCAGTACCCTCCCAAGGACAACACAAATTGGCGCCATGTTCTTTATTTGTTGTCAAAACATTCACTGGAAATTTATCCTGGGCGCGTTCCTGGTGAACCTCTTGGTCTTCTTGTCGCGGAAGACGCCGTGGTAGGCCAGCGGGAACCGGATCTTGGACTTGTGGAACTGCGTCACGATCGGCCGCTTGCAGTCCTTGTTCTGGATCTTTTCCACGCGCATTATCTGAACAGATCATCAACACATCACCAACAGATCTGAACCGCACGAAACGACGGTCGTGAGGTCACTTTAGAGTTCGTGGTCTACACCACAGTCAAGGGCACGGCGCGACTCGATGCGAGCATTGCATTCTAGTCACAAAACTAACTTGGCATCCGGGGATTTCGCGAAAATATTTGGAAGCACCAGTACTGGTTAATCAGCGCAGGTGCATGTCCTCGATGAGAACGAACAAAAACTGGAACGTTTTGCGGTGTTTTGTGAAGAAAATTCAGTAGTATACTGGTTGTCAATAGTGCCACATTGACCAAACCACACACCGGCTTCCATGCAAATGTGGAATATTGATCAGACCTGTTCAAAATGCAGATAATCCTACCTCACTCAACTAAGCTTTCCAAGCACAAAATGGTGTCTAGGTTACTGTAAAAACTAACTTCCACAGTCCTTAGGCTCTTTGGATACTCCTTAAAGCAAGCTAGCGCTGCATTTGGAGGCTCTGCTCAAAACATAATCACACAGGTTCAAATGCTTATTTCATTCAGGCAATTTTTAATCATTTGCAGTATTGCTACTAATAAAGCCAATTTGTTGCCCATGAAGCCAAACATTTTACTAATGAAGCCAATTGCTGCGCAGGGTGATATGACGCATCCCATGCCTACAGTGACTTAACCGCGGCCTAATGATACATAACGCACTTTTCGGTAGTGCGGTATTTAGTTGCTACGCAACCGCGAAAGCAGGCGAGACACCGTTCATTTCATCGTTGCCCCACAGGAAGCAAACTTAAGTGTTTTCAGCAGCACAGAAATTTTAGGAATATCACCGAAACTCCGTAAAACAACACGAGCAGGCACCCACAAACCAACTGTCACAAAAGGCCAGCCATGATGGGTGACTCAGTTCCCATCCGGATTTGTTCACATTTACTATTTTTGCGACCAGCCCGCAGTGACCCAGCCCGTCTCCGAGGGCCCCATTGCTGTAACGCTAGGGCACTGTAGTGAGGACCATCATTGGTTCCATTTCCAATGTGCTCTGACTAGGATACCTGTTTGTATGCTTAGGAGAACATAGTGGTCATGAACCCCTGGGTAAATGTTTTAAACACAGGATAATGAAACTAAGCTCATACTAATGTAACAAGCTTTTCATCTCAAATCCATACAGTGAAATGCATGGTGCTGCCAACAATTCTGTGAATATTCAGCTGCAACTGGAAAAATTTAACTTCAATAATCAATTTGAGAGATCCAGATTTGGAGCTAGAATTAAATATGCCATACCAAGATGCCTGCACCTACAGCAAAGATCTTGAGACAACAGGTGGCACTCTAGCTTCAAATGAAATGTTTCACTGAAACAGACATGAAGACAAAATGTTCTATTGCAGGTCATTAAAAACAAATACTTGTGTGTGGGCCACCAACATGTGGCAAACATGTGTCAAGTAGGTATGCTGAATGAGTTTGCTTACCCCAAGCTGCACAGGAAAAGCAAAGGAGATTGTGCCACGTTGACTGCTCATGACACGCAACACTTCTAGAAGTATCAAAAATCTTCAGAATGCATCCCAGTGATTGCTCCACATCTCTTTATAAATAGCAACCCCCTGCCACGAGTACAATGAAGGTCCGTTATCTCAACCGTAAGAGATCGCAATTCCGCGCACACCTGAGCTGCATCAGCTCCCATGTTGTGCACTTCATGGGGTGGCGGGTGAGGTGTCAGTGGGGGTGGGGCTCACCTGGATGGCGTGGGCACGCGCCCGGTGGCGACCGCCCATCTCGCGGTAGCACTGGGTCACGGCGCCCGTGATCGTCACGTCACGGTACTCCTTGTACATGTTGTGCGTGCCCGAGCGCGAGTCGTAGCGCAGCCAGATGCCATAGTTCTTCACCTTCAGTGGGTGCTTCTCCAGCATCTGGGCAGGATTAATTAAACGTCACTTTCATTAAAAAACAACCCAACTCATCTGGCTTACAGTGGTCATTTGGCAACATAATTCAGCAGTTCAAGGTTATTGCAGAGCCCATCAATGAATGATAAAAAGGTAAAGTTGAAACAGATTAAAACTCACTAAAAATTATCTCCAACTTGATGCAACAACCTTGTTCCACCACATTGCAACAGCATGCAATTCTACACCCAGACTCACCTCCTTGCACTGAACAATCTCTCCAGATCCCTTCTTGATCTTGGACTGCTGACGCAGGAAGTACCAGAACCTGGACTTGGCCACCACAAAGTTCGGGGCAAAAAGTTGCATCCGGTACAATGGAGGGTTGACCTCATGTTCGGTGGGCAGTCGGCGGCCCACCACCTCAAACTGCTTCAGCTGAAAATGCATTGAAAACAACTTACAGAAAACCCAATGCAATTTAACATATTTACAGTTAAAGACTAGTATTAGTGTAGGTAGGGCAGCTACAAGTTCTGAACAGCATACATGATTAGAAATCAGATCAAGCTGCTACTGAACACAGCTGAATCTGGTTGTGAACTTGCCTGACTAGTGCGACATAATGTGAATCCTCAGCAAGGCTCAAATGCAACAAAGCCCTGGTTTACCCCTGGTTTACCCTGCAGTGCAAGTGCCACATGTACAAACACAAGACACACAACTCTCATTGACCAGTATGCCCTCAGTAAAACTGTGCTGTGCTGATGTTGTTAAGCTCCTCATTTAGTTGGCTGTGGAGGATGCAAACATAACAACATGCTTCAAGCCTCCGCCCCTCATAATTCCTTGTTGGCTGTTACCAAATCTGTCACTTTCTGGTTACAACTAGCACAAGCTAGCAACAACTCAGCTTTATTCCTTTTAACACGATTTTGTCACAATGTGGTTTTAACATCTCCTTTTCAACTGAACTAACTTAACTGGACCAGCATGGTCATACCACAGCATGATAAAAATGTGGCATGTCTACTGCAATTAGCACAGCAATTGCTTGACAAACTTGTGCCTCTAGCCCACTGATAATGATAATGGCTCATATTACACACAACTGCTCCCTCTATAACCAGCCACAATGTGCTACCACAGTGATGCATGGATGCAGTACCCAGCAGTTGAGACTAAAACGGAGCCCCATGCAAAATAAATTTTGAAAACATAACAAGCAAAATCACATATGTCCCAAATAAATACACACTCAGTGATGCTCCAAATTTCATGTGATTATAACCGAAGGTCATTAACACAAAATCATGATGCTTTGAAGTCTTCATGATAGGCATACAGTCTAACACAAAGCTCACCAAGTCTATAAAACACACAAACATATGAAAGCAACACAGCATGCATGCTTCTTCATGTTTTCCATGTTGGACCCAGGGAGAAGTGTTTTGTTCCTCTGGCAGAAAAACATGACCTTTCTGGAAGCACACAGGACTCTTAACTTGGTCTCTAAACATGGATAATAGATTACCTTTCTTGTTTCAATGGATGTTTGTCAGTGCATAAGGCACCAATTTTAGACCACACTTTTACCACTTGAAATGCATATTACTCACTTCACAATGCTATTGAATTAGTATATATGATATAACTATGGAGCTTTGGTTGACTGTGGAAACAACTGCATTATGTTTACCTGTTTGCAGATCATCTTTGGTATTAATGATTGTATGCATTAATGATGCTGCTGGCCTTAATGCAAACTGTTTATGCCAACTCACCCTAGCTGCATTTGATTGCAATGAGCTGCTAGAAAATGTGGCAGTTGATCAAACATTAGCAGATAGTAGTGCAGCTTCCACTTGAGACCTCATATCACAGGGTTACACAAGGAACCTTCATCCTACTTTAAAATGTTGTACTTTACAAGCATCCTGGTAAAGTGCATAACCCTTATGGCTTTTAAAAATATCAAATTATTTTTGACATTGAAAACAAAGACTGCAAACAAGCTGCTAACATTTCTTTACAATAATGTGCATCAATTATTCATTACCACTCAGTTTGCAAAAGTAAAGCCACTATATTAAATGTCTATATGACATCATTGCACTGAGCTGAAGCATGCATGCACTGAACTCAGGCCAGGGCAAATTGTGCTGAACTTACAGACATTTGCTTACCAAATGTCTAAGTGCTTTTACTAAAAGCCACTAAAGCAAATTAATGTAATGAATCCTTGATACATTGGCCCAATATGCACTGGAATTATTGGCATCCATGCACCTAACTCAAACATCAGGTTTAGGCAGTGTGTGCAATTGTGAATAAGATGTCACTGCAGCATCAGACATGATCAACACATCATGTACTCTTAGCTAACTAGCCTCTACCATCTGTTTCCAGTGAGATCACATTCAGGGCAGGACAGGCAGGGTGCTATATGCCATGCCAGACAGGTTGCACAAAATTACTGCACTTTTACCGTTACGTGGCATCTTGCCTTCTGCTGCAGGGGAGCCGTAATATAAGTTTGTCACAACACCATTAACATTACCTTACAGGTGTGGCTGTTTCAGGATGATCAAGGTGGGACCAAGGGTAATTGATTCAAACATAAACATACAGAGTACTTATGTTGTACTTGTTGCCAAACCACATGCAGTTTACCCATACCATACATGATAAACACAACCAGGTGGGCATACAGAGAGCAAACCCAACACCCTCCACATCTGTACCAAAACCACAAGAAATTAATGGTTTCCCTAGGAAATCAAATAATGGCCCACATAATGTCCCAGGTCGTGAATACCTAAGACTACCCAAAAGGGCAAATGATGCGCACCATACATTAAAAGCTTCCAAACACACGAGCAATATAGCGTAACAGCTGAGCAAATGGTCCTCGCTTCGGGTTAAAAACTGAAGAGAAAACACCGCTTTGTATCTGTATGCAAGAATTACGCCTCAGACGGTCAGGAACACATCATACCTGCGACGCCTTCATCTTGAGGCCGACGCATTAAAGGAAAGGCCGATCGCGGATGTTGTAGCAGCATAGAGAAGAATAGAGCAGATCTGGACAAGATTCGAAGTGAAATGCCTTGAACTTGTACGGCTTAAAACAAAGAGGTAAAAACATAAGTCAAAAACACAAGTTTCAAATACTATAATAAATCTTTAAAAAATATACTTCCTTTGTCTGAATGTAAGATATTTCCATTTTGAGTTCAACACGAATGGATCGGGTATCTGAAATGGTCAGACCGTATTTTGGCGGTGACGAGAACGGCCAGTATTCTAGAGAGCTTTGTGAACAGAAATGTCTCTAAAAGTAAATCTCGACGCGGCTGCAGCCCCGGCCGTTTAACTCAAAATCGAGGCTCTCGTGTTTCGAATGGTGTTTCGCCACTGGTGATTTCTGCGAGGCGATATCAAGTGCGGATCCAAGGGAAGGGGGGCAACCGGGCCATGCTCCCCTAGCATGGTCAAAGCCTTGCAGGAGACGACACGTCTATAGTCTAGACTGCGAAGAAAGATGAGTAACTCTTACCAGGGGCAAAATGTTTTGGAACACTCCTACAAAAGGTAGCGAGACCTGTTGAGTTACGAAAATCAGAGCACTGTCTGATGTTTTGCTCCAAAAGGGTCGCTGGTCTCCTGAAACGGCGTTTCACATTCGCCCTCGGGCGAAATACGCCAGCCCTTACACCTGCGATCATCTGGTCGCAAACACAGTTTGGGAAAGCGCCCTAACCATGAACTTTGGGAAGAAAGCAGGGGCGTGCGCATATATACCCGTCGAGCGCACGTGACTCCTCCTTTCCAAATTATGGCATACATCAATACGTACGTTACTAAATGTTGACCACTACCAATCCCAGGGAAATTCGTAAAAGAACTCTGAACTTTGGACTCTAGACCCATCACATCCAGTAATTCGGCGTTGTGTTATTACATGAGAAGCGCAGTTCGCCACATTAGAGCCGTTCATAAGACGTCATGGCGACAATCTGACCTCTCCTCCAGCCTGTTGTGTAATGTTCTGTTGAGCACTGCAATGACGGTGATTTTTACCTGTATCGCCTTAAGTCCATGACAATCCAGGTGTCACTGAGAAGCGCGCAGGTAACCGAGGACACAAAGCAGACGTGTTCAAAGGCAATGGCATGACATCTTTAGAAGTTGTCTTAATAGCTAAAATGAGATTTGATTGTTGACCATCAGAATGTCATCAGCAGGTGCTGCACCCAGCTACATTTAGTGTCACCTACAGCTGGTGACATTCACTGTCACCAGCTAGCACAGGGAGAGGGCTGAGAGTTTGTGCCTTCCGATTTTCTCAAAATACTCCCTTTCATTTTGCCCGTAGAATCCTCGTTTCTGTCATGTTTTTTCCATTAATAATGCCATTTTTAGGTCACGCAATCTCCAATTTCAGCCCACCCGCACCTCATTTCCAGAAGGATCTCTCCAATCCAGGCTTGCCAGATCTCATCTCCCAAACGTGGTTATACCCACGACAGGTGATGTGAGCCGAACTAAATACGTTGTCTTTGGAGGCATGCACATGCCATTGCCTGCCACAAGAACACATCAGCAGCATTTGACCGGTTAGACTGGCAGTTGAACATAACCAGGTAGTGCAAAGCCACGCAGGAACGCAAAATACCTCGAAAAACAAATCCCTTAAGTTTTGAAGATGTTTAACAACATTCACTATTCAGTGCTAGAGCCTGGAAGTTAAGTAAAATTCATGTCTGACCTATAATCAACGCAAAATGTATTTTTTGAAAACACGCGTAGAAATGATGCATGGAAACGTACTGAGAATGGTGTGTTAATAACACACTTCGCTGCTTTTAAATCTCACGAAAAGTCGCCTGGGGGCGGTGTACTGACGGCCTGCCGGGCCGATTTTCGTCAACGCATGTTCTCAGACTGTGCAGAGCCACCTAGTGGCGAGCTGTGTTGGCGGCGTATTGATGTCCATCATCCCATCATTATCCCATCATCCCTGTGGCGGGCTGGCCGGTGCGCACCCTCCCATGAGGGTGCGCACCGGTGGACCGGTGGTCCTGTGGGTGGTCCTGTGGGTGGTGGTCCATCATCCCTGTGGAGGGGTGGCCGGTACGCACCCTCCCTCGAACCCGCATGGTGGTCCTGCGGGTGGTCCTGTGGGTGATGGTCCCTCCCTCGACTCCGCATGGCGGCCCAACATCCCTGTGGCGGGCTGGCCGGTACACACCTTCCCTCGACCGCGCATGGTGGTCAGGTTCCGGCCGGTGACACTCGTGGGCAGGACTTCGATCCTAGTGTCGTTTCGCGACCCACCGGGAAGTCACCGGAATTGCGGAGGACATCCTTCAATCATGTTCGCATCAACCATGATTGCGCTCACGGTTCTTCTAGATATCGCGCTAACGATTTCGAATCCGGGGGAGAGCATCAGTGGCTGTGGTGCCTGTCGACAAATCGGCAGCTTTTCTGAAAATATCTTGGTACGGTATTTCCCCAGACGGCCGCTCGCCGTCGCCCAAACGTTTCGTTTGACCATTCAAGATACGCAAATGGGTCACGATACATCCGTGGCGCACTAAAAGCGCAGGGTTCCGCTAAATGATATGTTGATAACACTAATATATCCCAGGATATCACATAGGATATACACAAGATAAATTTGTTAAGCTTTTTCATTCAGCAGCCAGAACAAGCTTCTAACTCCACAAAAACAGCGACGCTCGAGTTCAACCAGTGCAGAATAATCGAGATGTCACCACCTTTGCACTTCGTATTGATTAATACTATGGCAGACAAAAACACTCATGACCTACGTGCTGGTACTGCGGACGCACCTCTCATGAGCCTCAGCGCCAAGACTAAAGTTATCCGCCATTATGGCAGCTCAAGCGCGTAATTGTCTACAAAAGATGAGAAAAATGATTCGGGAGAGTGGGCAAACTCTGTAAGAATTTCACTCAGTAGCTTCCGCACTTATCCACTTTCCTATCCACCATGTCTGAAAAACGGCCGTGAAGCCAGTTGCCAACGGCCTGACCATGTTGTTGCTTCTTTAGTATCGCAAAGAATGGATTCTTGAAAATCATCCGATAACATTTAAAAGACGAATGATTGGGCAGGCTATTTCCAGCATCTGTAATTTTTAGACAAGCAGACGAGATGTATCGCTCAGTGGCAATAAATGGAGAAGACCAAAATCATGCATAAATCGTGAGACTCTGTATGGGAGCATCCTCATATTACGTCACAAATGGGGTGAGAGAGGGGATTTGTTAGACCGTAATCGAAAAGTAACGATTAAAGGGACCGGGGTGGACAGCATGAAGCTATTCTCAGGAATTGTTGCGGATGTAACTACATCCGAAAAGCCAATGTTTTCAATTTCCGCTCTTTCTTAGCTAAGAAGCCACTGGTGTCGGCCTCGGCTTCGAGGATGAAAGCTTCAGAGCCACCGGCTTCGGCTTCAATTTCGGATTCACTGTCTTGCCATTGTCTTGAATTTGAGTTCGGCTTCGAAACCAGAAGACTGACTTCGTCCCCATGCCTGATTAGGCCGATTTTTGTGCGAATGAGATTATCTGTCACACATTAAGCTGATCTCAGGACCATCCTCTGGCCATGTGAGCTACCGCGTCGAAATGTCAATGCAGTCCACGAGGCACGTGATCGGTGATACGGTTCTGGGAGGTAGGGGGGCGGGGGAAGCATGATATCTACCACCGAACAGTCGAGACGCGGAACTAAACGTGACAAATCGGGAGCGAATCGTTATATGACTGTAATTCGCGACGGTGCTAAAATACCGCACACAGACTGCAGCTTTATACTGCGACGTATTCGATTTCCTTTGTGTTCCAGGCGGTACAGGTTTCCTTATTCCTCATGGGTACCAAAACACACACAATAGGCACCACAAAGCATAGGCGTGGCAACGTTTCAAAAAATGTGTCTGTGGGGGGGGGGGTAAGCTCAGGGCATACTTCAAAAACTTTTCCTGGACAACAGGCCCGATGACCAGAGAGGGGGGGGAGGGTAAGAGATAGGGGTTGTTATCGCTCTTTATGTAAATGCCATGGCTGCTATGCTAGATATGCATCTGGAGCTGCTTCTCGCTGGTGCACAATCTTGCTTATTCGACTCATCTATGTCATTCGGCAAATAAGGCTGTCAAGGTTACCAGGAATATTCGTCCATTTCAGCTTTGCCTTTCCTGGGGAGGCGAAATTCCACGAGCGGGTGGTCGTTTTGGGTCATTGAGGAGGCATCTGCCTCCACAGGGTAGATGCCAAAATACGGCCCGGACAACGGCTCGTGAGAATTTTGAAAGCGAACCAATGGCTCCCGTACGACAGATTTTTCAAGCACCTTCATTTCGTTGGCTGTTTTTTTAAGAGATAGGCTAGTCGCAGCATTTTAGGCGGAAACCAATTCGGAAGCTCGAAACTGCCAAAAATGTGACCGAATGTATACAACTGGAGACTCTCTCTCAGGTTTTTTGTTGCACATTGCTGGATCAGCGTTAGTACTACTCGGTGTGTAAAACATATGGTGAACACCTGCAGCAGTATCCCGAATTATCTTCTCTCACACCGCACCGCCACAGAACAAGCCTACGGGAAGCTGCCTGCCTTAGATATGAATTGGTCCAACAGACATTCAATTGCCCATCATTCAACGTAGCCGACTTGATCTGCTTTTGTGTGTGGGTGGGAGAGTAGCCAGAACATTGCTAAGGGGGAGCACAGGGTTGACCCCTCTTATAGCACCCCCCCCCCCCCAAAAAGAGATCCCTGGATATAGGTAACTTGTTAACAAGGAACACGGCTTTCTTCGTTTTATTGCTATGTTTACCTTGTTACCATAGCAGAAACCAGAAGCTACCGTGAGGTCAATTTTGTTTATGTATAACGGTTTGGTGGACTCTTTCTAAAGCGATAAATTCAGAAGTTTTGTAAGAATTTTTCATCTGGGTTCTACAGGTATTAAAGACATCGCGAAGGTAGATTGGAGATCAATATGTTTGATCGAAATTTGAAGATGAAATTTTGACTATAGATCGAGTGGTCAACAACGTGTATTAACATAGCCGAATCATGGTGGTCTGGAAATGTATACATTACATAGTACATTCAGTCAGAACCGATCAGTGTTACAATTTATGTAGCGTGGTTTTTTAACATCTGCGCTCGCAAATCTCGGCGGTAAAAACCTCGATACCAGGCGTTGCAAACTGCACAGTCCGCGAGGGGTCAGCCCAGTGGCCAACTTTTACCCGTGGTCCACCAGAGAACAAAAATGATGACGCTTCTGAACTAATAACTTTTAAACACTTGAATGGATTAGTGATAAAGTTCTGTGGCATAGTTTTGAGCACGCGCACTAGCAAATCGTGGTACCAATAAACTCGACGACAGGCGTTGCAGTCCCCGTGGGCTGCGCAGCGTCGGTCCAGCAGCTAGCACTGAGCCGTGACCAACGGGTGGACGAAAATGACAACGCTTCTGAAGGAAGTGCTTTTGAACGCTTCAGGACATCAAAATTTTACATTTACAAGGCAATTTGGGAGCATATTTCACGCCTGCGATTTTTAGACTGATGACAAGAACGGATTGGCCATTGAAGTACCGCGAGGTGGTGCTGGAATCTGGTGGCGTGGCTGGAAGAGTAAAGGTAGAATTTTCTGTGTTTTCACTTAAAAAACGGCACCCACCGTCTGGTAGCATTTCCAGTGGCCGTCATCGCTCAGTTTTACGGAAGCTGCAACCCAGGCCATCGCTGTCCTTGCTTCGGAGGTTGCGGACGGGCATGTTCAAACCTTTTGACACAATATTTTTCACTAATCCATTCTAAAAAAAGAACATTCTCAGGCAAATGTGGGATGGCTCTGTTGGTTTTTCTTTTACTGATTTTGACACCCTCTATTCAACAATAATGAGATCCCCCAATCTATTTAACAATATTGGGACCCCTTGTCTCCTTCCGGGCAAGGGGCTCATTGATTAGAACACCGGGGTACATCTTCGTTTCCGGTCAAGGGCTGAAGGGCCATTCCGTTCCACAGCGAAGTGTCTCCTGGCTGTCATTCTGGTAACACTGGGAGGGATTTCCTGGTCGATCCGGGGCCTTTAGAAGGACACATTAGATCACGTAGTTCTCCCTGACACGGGAGGTCTTCTGGCCCGCGCAATTGGCCCCAAGATCAGCACAGGAACCCTCATTGACGTAACAACATTCTGATCGTTGCAGGTGGTCCAAAACTTGTCACATAGACTCCAGTTTTTCATGTTCGTCTAAAAATTTTCAAGATTCAGTCAGAATTGATTACCCATAAAAACCATGTAATATGGTTTTGAACATGCGCGATCGCAAGTCATAGCAACAACAGCCTCGTCCGGCGTTGCAGTCTCCATGGACCGCGGCGCAGTTTAAAGCACGTCCTAGACGAAAAAAGATATTCTGATGCTTCAATTGGCGATCATTTTCTTTTTGCACACCAAAGCTATGAGCTTGAACGTGATAAAAACACAATGTAATTTTAAAAAACTGCAAAAACACAATCACCAATCCCTTGATATCAGTCATCAATCCACTGACAAACCAAATCGAACCACTCTTATCACAAGCTGAAACGCCTTCTTAATAGAAATATCGCATCCTGGAGAATACATAACCTCATCTGTCCAAAGCTAGTGCATTATCGACCTTGATTTATTGTATTTTTTTCCGACAAAGTGTAAGAGAGGTGTGCAATCTAATCGCGTGCATTGCCAAGGGAAAATACCGCTGTCAACGCTGGCCAGTATCTGGTGTCCGCCTAATACTTTGAATTTTTGACTCTGTGAGTAAGGTCGGTGACGAAAAATTCCCCCAAAATACAGCTTTCTTAAAAAAATTCACGAATGTATCATTGCGAGGGGTCATCTTAATTCCCTTTCAATGTTTGCTTTCATTTCCTATAAGGCGTCGTGCCATGCACGGTTACTGGATTTATCATACTCATGTGTCTTGCCATAATTATGTGACTTGCCGCCGTCTGTCAGAAACTGAAACATCGCTGAATGATGCCAAAACACTCCGACAATAGCACAAGACTAAGCTTGGGTCAACAAGACATACTAATCGTGTAGCTAAAAACATGCAGCATACAGAGTAAAGCAGAAAATACCCAGGCAAATAGGATATGAACGTAAGGCTTTCAAAGTGTGATTGGCTCCATCAGCTGCATTTAACTGAACATGACATCTCAAATGACATGTTCTTTGCTCTTTTTACATGTGAAATAATTAGAAGAACCCTTCCTAAAATTGTGATAATTTGCTTCCTACCAGTTATAATGTCCTGCTTGTACTTGTCTCCAGAAGGTTGGGGGAAAACTCACCGTTGGGGGACAGATTGGACATCGGCGGGCCAGTGGCCCACCCAAAAGAATACAGACACTCGTGGTTCAATCCATAAGCTATAAAGAGGCCTCAAGAAGCTGCCAACAAAAGCTGCAAAGCCTCATTGTTTTCGGCTGTAAAACATCTGTCTCTAGACATCTGTCTCTGAGACGTCTGTCTCTATAAGACATTCAGAGAAAGCGGAAGGTGGTTTCAAAACGCATCACTTGGGGAACGTTATATGAGAAGGCACGGAAAGATGCGGTGCACTTCGTTTACGTTGGAGATGACGGAGAGGTAGATCACACATCCAGAAAAGCTGCCGTCAAGCGCGTGTTGTAGCCTGGGCTACCCTCTTACTACGTGGCCTAACTCACAGGCCATAAGTCAGCATTCAGCCTGGGTAGCTACACCGAGACGTGGAATGAGGACCAAGAGAAGGTGTCCAGAACATTGTCGGCGGACGCACCATTCACATCCACAGGCGGAGCTCTGAAAAGCACGTCTGACGACGGGCTGGTCCGCACGCGGAACGGAACATACGGAAGTATTCTGAGTTAATGACCAGTCAAACATCACGAAATCCTTGTAATAGCTAACGCGATGTGCATTGAGTGGCAGGACTTCAATAACTGCCAATTCACTATGAAAACATAACGAATATGAAGAGGAATTTTGTCTGCACTAAGCGCTTTTTTGCTTTCAGCCGATCCCACCTCCTCAGCGGAATGGATCCTTATCTAGGGCATACGCTTGCTCTTGTTCGCATGTGTTCGCGGGCCGGTGTAATAATGCTTGCCTTCTGTTGTGACGATTATTATTCGGAACACTTAAGGATAGCCAATAAACAGAAGAGTAACGCACTTGATGCAAACATGCTACTGTTTTCGGCAGAATATCTAACACGCGCACCTGTGGAAAATTACTCGACCGCATGCCAGTAGAGTGCAATAGTTGGTGCGCTTGGAAAAGGTTTATCAGTCCGAAAGAACTTTGGTCCGACTTTAGTGCAGCTTGTGTAGACTACCGTTTACTGTCTAGTTTGCATAACTGCATCCTTCACCAGCTCGCTTGCAGAGATGTCATGTGTTGTATCTCTACAACATAGCACTCTCACGCCTTACTCGAATGTGATATTTTAACATCCCTTCTCACACGACTTCCCATCTGACACCATACCGCCCCTGAAGACGCTGCAACCAAGGATCACGCTCGTATCTCTCACATGTCAGTTGCAGTAATGTGTTTGCATGAAGATGCCTCAGGGACTGGTGGTTGAGTGCGAGCGGCGCCGCGCTGTCAGCTGTTATCGGCGCGCGCCTCGGCCCCGCCACATCCGGCGTGGCGCTGCTCAGCGTTGCGCAAGTCCGAGTGCGCCGGCAGCACGCTGCAGCGGATTGGTAGCGGGCCCGCTTTGAGGTGGCTGCCACCCGACCTCCCCGGACATGCTGTGACGCGGCCGCAGAGGGGTAGCGTCCGCCGGCCGAGCGGGCCGGCCGGGCCGCTCGACCGAACGGGGCCCCGGCCGTGACGCAGCACCACTAGCCCCCTCCCCTCCCCCTCGCGGCCGCTCACCTGGCAGGCGCGCGCAGTATGGGCAACTACTGGCGCGAAGGGCCGAGAGAGAGCACCTCCCGTTTTCAAGGTTGGCGGCAGTCGTCGCCGAATTCGTAACGCTTTGAGGCGGGCCCACCGGCTGGGACGACGTACGGCAGGGCGGCGCTCTGTCGCCGCGGTGGGGTGCGGCGTCTCGTGGGCCGGGCCCAGCCGTCCTCTGCGACTCGCCCGCCGGGCCGCACTTGTCGCGTGTTTGTCTTGGCGCCGACACACCGTACCTGCCTGTCTCGTCGCTTCGTGTTGACGGAGGAGGCGCTCTCCGGATTCCGGAGTAATGGCGAGGCCGATTAGGCGCCGTTCGCGTCCCGCCAGCGCGGAGACAGGCAGCATCAGACGCGCGCCGCCGCTGGCCCGTGCGACGCGCCCGACGGCCGGAACCGACGGTGACGACAGCCGGTCGCCGGGCCGTGCCGGGACACCGACTTCGACGGCGGCAGGCAGCGTCCCGCCCGCCCGCCTGGCCGGCCGCGAGCGCAGCCACCACGTGACGCCGTCCGGGCGGCGGCGTCCGGACCACGTGACCGGCCGGATGGCGGCGTAGCGTCCGGCTGGTTGCCTGGCGCCAGCAGCGCCACCAGATGGCGGCAGCTGCGGCCGCCAGAGCGAGCCGCGTCGGCCGGTGCGGCCCCTGTGTAGTGAGTACCTGGATACGTGGCGGTGGGGCCGGCAGCAGGTCTGCGCACCCGCGCGCTCGCGCGCGCCGGCGGTGGCGGCGGCTGTGTTCAAGGGCTTGATATCACTCAGAAAGGAAGCGTGGGTGGAGACGAACGGCGATACCGGTCTGAAAGTCGGCCATCTCTGCGGCCGGTGCGCGCTGGCTAGTGACGCGTTCTTGTAGGCTTCACCCTCGCCAGAGCACCCTGCTGGAAGGAGCGCCGCCGTCCGTGCATGAAGGTAATTATAGCGTGTTTACTCAACCGCGGCTTCTTGTCTGTTTACCATCGCCGGTTGCCTCGAAGTTCGCTGATGTGTGTTGTTTCCGCGTCCTGCGTCGCTACCGAGGATCTCTCCGACAGCCAACCGCGGGTAGGGAGGTGGTCCATGCTGTTATGCTCCCTCTTTACTGGACGACAACATGCCGGCCTTGGCGCAGCCTGACGCGTTTTTGAGGTGTGTAAGTACATTGCAGCGTGCGTTGCAACGGGCTTATCGCGTGCACGGACCGCTCCAGGCAAGTCGGGCGTGTGGAATGCAAATCACTCGTTTCAGCCTGATCGTTGGCTGCAACAGCAGCTCTCACTCGCTGCGCAAGAGCAGCTCTTTTGTGACAGACGGAGTGCATGTCCCTCGCTCTCCGTCCATACGACCCGCTCCCGAAGGTGCCTGGAGGGGCGGCGACATTTCCGATGACATGCCCTCAGTGTCTTTGTGCCCTAGCTTCCTATTGGCTTTTGTTTGTAAGAGTAAAACGAACGATAAATATTTAACAAAGGCTACCGGCTTTTCGCAAAAAATAATGAAATGGTTGAAATCCGACAACAAATTTGATTTGTTTTGCACGTGCCTGTATGTATGCTCGTGTGAAGTCGCTTCCCCGGACTGGGTCCGTGTATGTCAGTTCACCTTACGCTCCTTCGTGTTAAGCCTCACCAGTCATCCCCTGTTCCCGACATACGTGATGCTGAATGTAATGCAGGAATGTGTGTCGCGGAAACAAAATGCTCTTTTCTCACTGTAGTGGGGTAGAATTGGTGACCCGATTGCTATGATGAATCGTTCTTTTTTAATCAGCGCACATCTTTTTCCCCACTTTTCTCGGGCGTTTCCACAGCTTTTTCGTCTCCTCAAAATCCTCCGTTGCTCCGCACGTGCCAGGCAAAAAAAAACAACACAAAAAGCAAACAAACAAAACAGCATGTGTACTACTCTGAATGGATGGTTTTATGTACTGTGCATCTACTTAACGGGGTTTGTTACATATGCTCTGAACCCACCATCCAAAATGGTCCTATCCAGCCCATCGGATATGTCTGCCTACGGCCTTCTTGTCATGACTGACTGACTGACTGAAGCATGACCATGGAAGGCTTCACGTGTCATACAATGTACCGGCACGACGGCCCGGGGCCAGGTTGACCCTCATTGGCCGGTTACCAGCTCACGTTACCACGCAGTTTGAGCAAGACAGTTTGTTCGTCTCAGGACTCGTACCCAGTGTCTTTGGATTACGAGCCCAGCATACCCGCTGTTGACCGCGCGGGAACGAGCTCGAAGGGCACGGTACATTACTCGTGCTGCACCACTGCCGCTGCCCCCAGATTAGAACGACAAACACATATTAAGACAGGTAAGGCGGTCAAGGATTTCTAATAGATCCAACAATCTGGCCGGAAATAAACCAGCTGTTAGTTTGCTCAATGCGAGCATATCCATAGAATACCATCCCCGCCACGCGTATTCCGTTCGTTCGCATCCACCGTCAATCATCAGTCAGTCGCGACCCTAGAGAATCCACAGCCCTATCCACACAGCGAGCCGTCAGCCACAACCCCAGCAGCATCCACAGCACAGGGCCGTGCCTGGCTGCGCTTGGTGCTGTTGTGGACGCCGTCTGTGGCGCAGACGGTTTGTCAAGCGCCCTATACCTACCGATAGCGAAATCCACCACGCACCCATCCTTACTTCATGCTTTGTTCTCCTCGCAAGGAATTGGTTCCGTGTAAAAGAACACCCTATGAGGAGGAATTTTTCACTCCTTTTCCTATATTTATGTCAATTTTTCACTCCTGCCTGACATTGTCTAATCGCACATGCCAAACCCCAATTTCCCTTTCTGAGGTTTTCAGATGTCATCCAAAGCCGAGCTCACTTGAAACCACCAAGCATAAACGGGGCTCCGCAGAACCTGGACACCTATGGCTATGTCCTGCCTCACCTACATCTTAATCATATCTATGTATGCACAGAGCAAGAGGGCCAGGTACCTCCAACCCCAAGACCCCCAGCGACCCCAGCCGGTTGCATGCATTAAGTTTGGTTTGTTTACAAAATGCATAACAATCTGCAGCTTTGCGCCAAATACAAGGTTTTCACGCGTCCCTTATTTTTTCGTCTCACCGCCACATCACGGAGCAGAGCCTGGTGCAAACGCCAGCAAGGCCTGGTAGAGAATTTTACTCCACGTGCTTCTTTTTCCCGAGGAAAACTTGACCACTAAATGCATCACTCCGAAATGAATGAGTGAAGAAGTTCAAGAAATGTCTTTTGAATTATGCTTACAAGATGAAAATCACCATTTGAGCAATACAATTAACAGATTTTAAGTCAATCAGCTGATTACAAAATTTTGCGGGAAAAGTATCAGTCTTTATATTTATTTAGCTACTTTTGTTTTGTATTGATATCATACCAGTGTGTTACCACTTTGTTCTTCCTTCCTTTTTGATTGCCTTTAGAGGTACCATCTGCTGCTTAATATGCTGACCAATTTCTCTGCAAGATGTTCCAACTGCTAGCTTGTACGTATTTCATACACAAATTGGATAAATTCGCCAGCCGTCCAAATATGTTTGATATGCACCCAAGGGTGAACAATTCACAGGGAGTGAAGGAGACAATTTGAATCACGGAACTTATTTTTACCGCTATTTTTGCCGTCTTAAAACTTCGGTTAACTGTTTTTTTTGGTTCATGGTGGTGCTCAATAAGGATAAATCCAAGCTTTTCGAGTGACTGACTTAAAAGGCTGCCTGGCAAGGCTTGAAGTAGCCTTGCCAAGTGCTGCCTCTATATGGCAGCGTTAGGATATGCTGCCATACAGAGCCTTGGGACAGACCTGACGCAGCTAATACAGAAGTGTTCGATGGCAAAATTCTGCCCTGTGGAGATGTTTATAATGCGCACCTCTTACTTGTTTCGCACTGTAATCTCGAAGGTTTGTGGGCATGATTGATATTTATATTTGGGGGGTGACTCGGATGACTCTGTCTGCCAGCAGACCATGCAGAAGGTACTGAATTTTTGTTTTGGGGGAGCAGGAAGAAGCCGATAAGTCTCCTGCGGACCAAGTAATGGCTTACCTTACCTGCATTCAACACATGATTGGTAACCAGAGTTAGCCATTTTCTGTTTTAATGCATCGAGTTTTTCCATAAGACAGATTATGATGCCCTAAGGCATGCAATGGGCTTATTTTGTTTCACATTCTTGGTTATTTGCCCCAAATTTCTTGAAGTGGTCTCTCATGGCTGCTTTAACCAGATGTTTTTTATAGTTGTTATGGTTTACTGACTGGCAAATGACTGTACTGTATATATGCAGTATATTTTTAACACAGGGATGCTCACAGGGAAGCTGCATAGCAATTATAATATGAGTTAAATATACACACAATACACAGGAAGCTGCATAGCAATTATAATATGAGTTAAATATTGCTATGTACCAAATAGTCAGACCACCCCATTTCAAAGATGAAGCCAACATCTCAGACTTTGTCATTAAATATGAATAAACAAGCCCAAATGGATGCATTTGCTGCAGCTGAAAAGGCAAGCAGCAATACTGGCATGGTCATCTAAAAGTCATGTTATTTTTGGAGATGAGACATTGTTTTGTGGAACGTACCCATTATCGCCCCTGACATAAGGTAACCATGACCATCAAAATAAGTTGTTCAAAGTGATTTAAGTGTTTTGATTTGTGTGTGGTCAACTTTGTCTGATGTCAACAAGCATGCACAAATGAACTGAATAAAACTGCAAGTTGAAACCAGCCAAATACTAGATTTAAATATCATGTTCTCATCACTAGTGCTGCAGTCAACAGATAGGTGAGTTGAGATGATGTTCATCATATGGGCTACTCTAAGTTAGGTTAAGTTGGTCAAGTGCATGGCAAGTGGCAATAGGAATTGTGCAAGAATCAGTAACACAACTGGTGCCGTGATACAAACAGGTTATGCAGGATGAGATGATGTAAGGCCTCTTTAGGTTAGGCATAGGCTACTTTCATGGAAATAAGCCCTGGTATTTTGTAAGAAACAGTGTCAAAATGTTTGTTTTCCCGGACCCCACCTTAACAGAAGCCAGAAGTATTTCCATTGTGTTTGACTTGGTGATGGGCAGATGTGTAGGAGTCCAATGTTTTTTTGTTTGTTTGAGTGTTGTATGCTTGTTGAATTTTCTGTTGTTATATTGCTATTGAATTCCTTTGCTTTGTTTTGCTTTAAAAATGCTGTGGAAGGGAATTGAAAAGTGCAGCATCAAGTTGTTGGTGTGAGTAATTTGTTATGCTAATAGTACTGTCATGAAATTACTATGCTTTAACCCATGCCCGGTTGGCCGGCTAGATGCCCTTCGCTGGGGTGTGGGGGGGGGGGTCAATTTGAACCCCCTCTGAGATCTAGGGAAATAAGAAAGCTAGAGATACCAAATTTACAGGGTGTCTTGACCTATAGGTGAACTCACTGAGGATAAGGTTTCAGCTTCCTAGGTCATGACCTTCAGGTCGAATAAGGTCATACAAGGTCAAATTCCAGGTTGGTCTCCAAAGCACCCCCAGAACCTAGGCAACTGTCTCTAAGCAAAAGGTCACAAGCCCATTTGAGGTCATTGACCTTGTTTCACCCTTTGAAGGTCACAGTGACCAGAGTGGTACAAGACTGCCCTGCGTTTTCATTTGAATAAGCGACGAAGATTACGCTAGGCAGTATGTTCCCAAAACAAATGGTTCGACCCGGGTCGTCTTAGGTCAGTGGCCTGTTCTGACCTCTAAGAAGTCAATTTAAGATGTATAATGCGGTTCCTGCTATTAACAAATTCGAAATAAGCACCAGGAATTATCCCATACAGCAACCCTTAGAGTACTAAATCAGGTTGGTTTTGACCTTGGCCTGACCATCATACCTGACCTTAGGTCAACGTAATTTGCTCATTCAATATTTGCGATGCCTA